GTGTATGATCTAGAAACTATGGTACAGCTCAGGAGAGTTTCCACAAGACCAGGACTTGAAACACTTCTTTGATCTCCTTAAGGGTAAGTCCATGAAGTACTACAGGGATCACTGAAATCCTTCAGACTGAAAGCTTTCTACCAATATAAATAAACAAAACCTGTGTACTTTTATTTTTCGCAGCAATACATGCCAACTGCATCAAAACAAGCAAGCGGAAATTCCGTCAAACCAGCAGCCTGCTGGCCTTGTGCAATGCCACATCTTAGCAAACACACTCTTCTGTTTGTTTCTTTTACTGTACCAAAAGTACTGGCCTCCTCTGGTGACACTACCTCCTTCGCTGGCTTCTCAAGTGGTACCAGTGGTTTAGGATATCTGGATGCTACAACGAGTTTTCAAAAGCAAGACAGCAATAAGTCATTATTTAAAATCTTCCAGTCAATGTGGGAGTATCCACCAGCAAGGAAAGAGCCTTTCTAAACACCAGGACAACTGGATTTCTCTAGGTGTTGCACCAATTCCACTTGAAGGTTTGAAGGCTCTCCTCTGCAAAAACATACGGCAAAGTTTCTGCATTTAAGCAGAGAAGTCAGACCAGAACCCACTTTATGAGCAAGTAAAATTAGAGAATATTGAATAAAACCAAACCGCAATAGCAAAACCAACACAAACTTCAGAAAAAAGCACCTTGCTGAGCGTGCTTCAAAGGCAGACAGTCACAGTGACATCTGACATTGTCAGAGAACAGCTTCAGGGTAGTTTTACCACAAGTAACCAAGCATCAACTTTCCTGTTTATGACATTAAATCTCAGCCCCTTGTAACACTTCAGTAATATACACATGGCCCTGTCCCAAAGTACTATCTGTATTAGCATGAATAATATTAGCCTCCAAACAGACTTTAAAGTAGACAGTAGTACCAAATTTACTCAAAGTTAACACTGCATGAAAATTTTCCTATATAGTTAACATTTCCATAAGATACTATGTGTGTACTGAGATAACAGGATGAAAAATTCAACTTCCCCAAGCTACCTAAATTTGCATTTTATTGTTACTTAAAAAGGGAAGCCCAAATAAATCATATGCATCCAGTTGAAACAAAGCTTAAACACGAAAGAACACCGCAATAAAGATGTGCAACGTCTGACTGAAGAACGCAACACAGTAAGTGCTAGAATGAACAATGGAAACAGATTTTCTTCTGCCCAAGAGTACATTTTGGAGGTGAGGTTTTGTTCATGTGTTTTTCAGAGTTTTGGGATTTGGTTCTTTGGTGTGTGTGTTTTTTTTTTTTTAACTACACTTTCACTTCTGAAAGGTTTCTTGGGGAATGGGGCACACCTCTCAATAGGACTTGAGAATTACTAAAATCTATTAATTAAGGCACCCCCACACAGTGTCCAGACCTTCCCATGCACTTCATCTTTTCTGATAATGGGCATCCACATTCTTGAGACAGGATTTAAAAACAGAGAATCTAAAAAAAAAAAACTAACTAAATTTAATAAGTGAGAATCTGATCCAGGGATAAAAAGGAAGTGGAACTCCCACCTCTACTTGTTACTCGACAGAGCAGCTGCAGGGTTCACCTGACAACCAGCCTTACCCCTGTCACAACATCTACACAACCACCGAGAGCCGTCAGCAGAGTGAGAATCCAGCTTCTCCGGGCCGGGCTCCGTCCCAGCTCCCTGAATAGGGCAGAAGGCAGAGCCTTGCTCTTCAGCATTGAGGCCTGGGAAAGCCACAGTGGTTTTATGCATCGGGTATTCCAGATACAGAAGCACAGGACAGCTAAGGGGCTCAATACAGCTTATGGTTTCTCCTCCACTTCACCAAGGCATCAGAGCAACCAGAAAAAGATGTAACTCTTATTCCTCACTTTTTTTGTTCCACTGGCAAAATGGCATTAATTTCAAGTAAATGGGTGGATTTAATATTAGCATTAACTGACATTTAGGGTAAGAAGTCTTAAGTTTACTTTATCCTGTTCAATACTTTGCATTACACAGATGACCACCATGTGAAAAGAGAACAGTTCCACCTGTAGGTGTTACAGAAAGCATTCGGTAGAGTCTGTGTAGCACTCTTCCTTCTGCACTCTGCCTTCATGGGAGCGCTCCACGATTTTTCGGGGGGAAAATATGTTAATAAAGAGTTTCAGAAGCAAAAAGAGAAACAGCACATTTCTATCTGAAACACAATATTCCTTTCACCACTGAGTATTTTTGACTCAGCAGTGAGATTAGCAATAGTCCTAGTTTGTGTTGCGATGGTCTAAGAACATGAAGGGACTGCACACAGGCAAGCTGGCAAGAGTCTGCTGTTTTACTAGCTCGATGTGGCATCTCAAGCTTGCTAATTACACGCTTGCCAGCATTCTGCCAGAAGACCTTTTCCTAGAATAGCAATCAAGCACTAGAGTTAAAAAACAATTTCTTGACCTAGGTAACAGCAAGGGAGAGGTAGATGATCCTTCTCCACGCAGAGCTCAGAGTTCAGCTGTGTACCTTGGGCCTGTCAAGGAGAGAGGGAGAGACAAGCGTCCTCACCAGATGCCATCATACCCGCCAACACACACCAGCGAGACCATTCCCTCTTCCCCCAGTGCGTCGGGCTGGGCAGTCCTCCCAAGAAACCTCACACTTGCGCTGTGAAATCGCTCTTCAAACAAGTACTTCCAGAAGCATCAAATTATGCTTTGTTGTGTTAACACAGATTAAGTTCTAACAAAAAGAGGTACTAAAATCTGAATGGTTCTAAACCACCATGGCTGATGAACTGGTTTGTTCATACTAGCAAGAAGCACCTGACTCATCCAACAAACTTCTTCATAGGAGATTACATTTGCACTGACTAAAAACCTCAGTGAAATCCATTTGTCTTTGACGACATTTACAGTCTTCTGAATTAACTCTTCTTTTTAAAGTTGTGGAAGTAGAGGCATCTAGGCTCCAATAGTCCCCAAGCTATTCCAATAAACTGGAGAGTTCACAAATTTAACACCAGATCATAAATCAGAGATGTTTCTTCTGACACCAAAATAAGATTTCACCCAACACTGGCTAAAAGCTTGCAAATTCCTACAAAAAGATCTTGCCTCAGTTGTCAGCTCTATTGAATGCATGGAGGTGGTGTCCTTTACCCACACACTAGCTTTTTTTTTAAAAAAAAAACAAAGACAAGATGCAGTAACTGGAAATTATGCGCATTTTTCAGAATGCACCAGTTTGGTCAGATTATTTATTAAACCATGTATGGTATGTTACATCAGTGCCTTCAAAGAGCACCTAGCTAGAGACTGCATTCTCCAAGACCTACAAATTAAACCAACAAAACCAGCTGTCAAGACTGCACTGCTACTGAATTTTTGCATGTTTTCCAGTTACACAACCTCAACGTGCAGTAAAACAAGTAATTACACTTCAGAAGTTCTTTTATTTAGTGATCACATCACAAAAGCCTTCCATATAAAAATATAAAAGGCAACTTGGTGCTTTCAAGGAATTGTATTCAACATAAATTATATATCAAAAATATATTTTAATATAGTATATATAGACAAAGATAGATACTGTATATATACACTTTATGTATAGGCACACAAAGATGGGCAAACCGGAATTTGTTTCCTATCTTTGCAACAAAAGATGGGAAAATAATGCATTCTCTCACTATCAAGACCCGAGATTTCTTAGAGGCCCTAGATAGCCATCATATTAGTATTATTAATGGAAACTGGTTACATCTGGGCTGAAGAATTTTAACCCAGCACAGATAAGAACAACAGTACCTTAGAAGAAATAAAGACACAGCAGATGTGCTAAGTTTAATATTTCTTACCTAAGCAAGTCAAACCCTTTAGTTTTTTCCCCTCATTGTTACCAGGCTTGCTGCACTGCTTAGAAGTGCTTTCGTGAATCATTTCGTATTATATGCTGGAAACTAAAGGTAGAAAACCAGAATATAAGTCCCTTAAGAAAGAAGTTACATCTTCTTTCTAATACCACTCTTATGATGGAAAATTGCTACAGCAGGTCAGAGGCTTTAACCATTCTTCACACTGCCAGTAAAATTTTTACATTTTCATCTCCCCCATGCAAGAACGGAGGATATGACTGTGTTGCCAACAAAACTAAGCCTTGATTATCAGGCACCACTTCCACAAACAGGAAAGCACAACTATAACATTTAAACTGAATTGGCCTACTTGCTACTCCAGTGTTTCTGTAACCAGGAGAAAGAAAAATACAATATTTGTACTCAAGTCCACATGCACCATCTCCATCTGGTGTGGCTGACATGTTTATAAGAAACACAAGCTGAAATTTAAAACTTTGTTTCAAACCTCTTCATGGGAATATGTGAGACCTTATTCACCCTTCCAAGACTGGAAGAGGGGGGGGGGGGAGAAAAAAGGCATTAATGAAGAAGGAAAACTAAATCCAGGTGAGAAGGTCTTGCAGCTGTCTTCAGAAAGAGAAATTCAGTGATGTTTTGACTAAATTTTAAGATAGTTCGCAACATAACTATTCCAGTCTAAATCACAGCAGTTCTTGAAACATCTTCTGAAAACAATTCCATCAAGATTCAGATTCATAGCCTTCCCCCCAGCTTCTCCTACGTAAAACCCATCTATTAATTTCAACTCAGGCTCCCAGCTTCACAGCCGTCCTTTATCACAAGCTCATAGATAGAGCTCTGTCTCCTGACTGATGCACTAAAACGAACAGAAGAATCTCAGTTTTTATTCATAAGCTAAACTGCTTAAACCGACTGCTACTGCTCAGCATCTGGGAGCTCCAAGAGTTCAGACACAAACACCCAGGCACGACAGGTGACAAGGTGATGGCAGGAACACCTTCTAAGCTACCCCACCCTAAACCTCTCCCCGCCTAGGGATTTGTGACTAGAGTGCAAACAGATGTGTTAAGTTTCAAAAATGCTTCAGAGACTCACCTAACTTACAGGTCAACAGCTATGACTCACCTACCTGAGGACCGTCCTTCAGCGTAGCAGCCGCAGCAAAGGATGGGTTTCCCTGTTGCCTCTGCCATTAGCGGAGGCCACAGATAGTGTGTCCTGTCATATTTCGCGCTAGGGCAATTAGTTGGTGGAACTGCATCCTTCTGGTGGTAGGCCTGGGAATGGGCCGAGGAACAGGCCCCATTTGGTTCTTGATGTGCCCAGGTCTCCCCATATTGCTGACAGCTTCCCCTAGCTGATATGGGGTCTGTTAGGGCACAGAAGAGGCAGTGAAGGAAGAAGGTCAAAACTTAACCCAATAAGGACCGCGCTAAGAAGGGTATGGACTAAGACCTCCCTTTCCATACAGAAGCATGAAAAGATCACAGGCACGAAACAAGCTTAAGCATAGTGGCAAAACTGCATAGGCTTTTCACGATTGAGGAGAGACTGATTTTCCAGACTCAGACAGGGCACAGGAGTTTACTCAGCAGGCAGACAACTGAATTTGAGGGCTGCATTTGGATCACTTCCATAGGAAATCAACACAGGAGTAAAACCAGCCACCTTCATCTACAGAATCAGCTACTGGGGCCTACAGCATGCTGCCACCGAATGAGAAGATCGAGAAGAAACCAAACACCTTTAAAACCATTTTATCTTGATTGCACACACCAGTTGTAAAAATCAAAATTGACACTAGCAGGTTAGAGAACTTGGAAAGCAGGGCACAAATACCTCTCACCCCCCATCTGCTACTCACAATCATAGCCTGTGTACCTAGTCAGATCATTCCTACACAGCCACCATTTCAACAGCAGGAAAGAGCAAGCATACAAAATATTATCTAACCATAATACAGCACGTGAAATACAGAGTACCAACACCTAGCCCAGAAATCATGTCATTTTCTTTCCAGTGCAGCCCTTCTATTCACTTTGCCTTCTCCTGGCATTCCTTGGTGTTTAGAGCGATGACACACATCCGACACTCCTCAAGAGCCTGGCTCTACGTTCACTGCCTCTCTTCACATAAAATCTAAATTCTGCCAGCATCAAACCTCTACAGAAAACAGCTAAGGGGAATCCATCCCCCCCAGGGACTCCTGGCATTAGTGTTGCCTTCCTCAGCCCAGAGCAGCTCCACACGTGCACACCAACGAGGATTCAGTGCTATGGTGGGTGACCTAACGAAAGCAGAGCACTTATTTTACCAACGCTGAATGACTTCTGTGCCATGTCTCCTCTCTTGTTCACATTATTTTAATTCTCTAGAATATCAGGCAATGTACACGAGGTACGCACTATAGTTCTAAGATTTTTTTACTCTAATTTTTATTGAAGACTTACTAGAAGCCCTTCTTGGTTATGGTTTTTCTTTTTCCACAACATACGAAGAAATATAAATTCTTAGAGTTAAAAGCTGACAGCTGTTATCATGCTGCAGTCCGGTAAAAAAAAAAAAAAAAAAAGCACATGAATGGAGCTGGCTAAAGAAAAAGATTAATTCTGAAAAAGTCATATCAAGCTACTGGTTGGGCAGATAAAGAATCTGACTCCAAAGACCAAGGTCTGATGGTGTTACAACACTTTGCGCAGCCCTTATCTGTGAGACTACAAAGCCCACAGCCGAGGTTTTGTCGAAACGATCTCTGGTGAGATTAATGAGATTAATGCTCGTGGTTTCAGGCACAAGTGAACTGCAATTTCCAATACCGAAATAAATGTGCAGTTTGCTAATAAGCAGTAAAGTCTCTAAACTCTGTAAAGTCTCTGTCTCCTATATCTTGAATCATCAGAAAGTCACAGTATTTTACAGAAACAGACTTTCATGCTATAGCTAACAACAACTGAGCAACAAGACATTACATAGGTCCATCTGTTGAATTATCTCTCTATAAACCTTAAGATATTATCCTGAAAGTCTCATTTGGATATCCACCACACGATCCTGCAGGTACACAGAAGCACTGTGAACAACCCAGTTTTACCTGAGCAGTAACTGCCAAGATAGAAACTCATGCAAAACCCTGATCACAAGAGCCCTTCAGCAGCTGAGAAGGATTTATTTTGGAAGAGTATTAGCTGTTAGTATTCAAAAGTTAGTGTCAGCTTACAGCTCAAAGCATACTTCCCACTATGCTAGAAAACAAATACAACTGAATCACGCTGTGCAAAACAGCGGCGCTGCTCCCGAAATGAACTGTTTAAGTGAACTACTCTGACTAGAAAAACTAGTGTTTATATGCCAGTGTGCTCTGAACAAAACCGAAGAGCTACCCGAAAAGGTTCTGTCCCTTTGTGAAAGCAGCACTCCCGTGCCTGACCCCTGTTCTCTGCCCACAAGATTTCTTCCAGTCACGTACAGGGGGGGGAGCCACAAGGCACAGAAGTGCCCTTTCCAAGGGCACGCTACTATCAAAGTCACAAAAGGGCCCAGATCAAACGCACACTGATCTCTTAAGTACCTGTTATCATCTCCGTTGCAACAGGGGCATAAATTACAGTTAAGCATCAGAACCAGGAGCACAGACGTTGTAATTAAGAGGATTTGCTTTGTCAGGCGTTTTGATTTGTTTCAGGGAAAGCGTCAAGTTGGCAAGAACAGTTGGATTAGACCAAAAAAAAAAAAAATCACTGTGAATTTTTTTAACTGGCGTTGCATAGCACTGTATTCAGAGACACATCTGTCAGCCTCCCCAGCACACACACACCTTCCCGCAAAAGAACCAGCACTTCCCAGGAGCAAAGCCGGCAAGCAGGCAGCTCTCTGCGCGCGGAGCTGTAACTCATGAATGAGCTCCCAGAGTAAGAGCAGCCCAGCGTCTCTTTGGAGGTCTGAAATCCATTTCCAGCTGTTCCAGCGTCAAGAGGATTTTACGGGGCACAATGTTCTACCCCCACCCCGAAAAATGGCCACCCACGCCTCTCCGAACTCATCCTTTAGAGGACAAACACGCAGAGGACGCGGCGTGGCGGGTCGGTCGAAGTTCTGAAGGCGCTGCGGATGCTTCTGGAAACCAAATGTCGGGTCGTGTGCCTCGCCCGACAGGCGGTCACGCTAACGCACGCCGGCACACGCCGCTCGACGCCTTGTCCCGCCGGAGTCTCCCACCCGCTCGCAGGACCCGCTGGGGGAATGCGGGAGGACCCACCCGAGACAAACTTCAGGGGCTGGCTCCCCGCGCCCCCCCCACCCGGCCCCCGCC